CCGAAGTTCGTGGCGGTCTGGCCCAATTAGTATACTTGGTCTTGCCAGACATTGTCACCGTACGTACGTAGTCGAAGGCGGTGACATTCGTAGTCGCCTCGTCTTGGAGGAAGAAGCCCTATCGCCATGGGCAGAAGGGTCAGCGAATGTCTCCCCCGCCAGTCCTACCCATAGCATTGCTTACTGTCACAGTGGTGTAGTTGATATACCCTGCCGTGCTGTTGGTGAGGTTGAACGTCTGCGCCGAGGCCAGAGCGGCGGCCGCCGTAGCAGCGAGGGCAATTGAACAGTACATCCTGACGTCCGTCCTAAGAATGGAAAAGAGTATCGAAAGAAAAGCACCAAATGGAACATGCCAAAACTTCTGTGACCTACTACTTGTACCTAGCGGTTAGCGGACCCATCCAATGTCGCTTGGATACCGCGACATTGTTGATGTCGCGTATGCGAACCAGCTTTGTCTGCGGCGATCTGGTGTCCGCATCGCTGTCGGGACCTACGAGACGAGGATGTAATGAGCACCTCGAGGGAATCAAAGGGTCGAAAGCCAGCACGTGGAGAGGCTCAGCGGCTCTACCCGAAGTGATCTTATTAGGTAGCCGCACTTGACAAAGCTAAGGGCTCCCTCCCTCGCCCTTCGTTTTCTCTCTCCTCACCGCCGAATCATGTCCCAAATCGTCGACGTTGCCATCGATCTCGAGCATGGCGACGAACACCGGAAACACTCGACGTACGGTGCTGAACTGACGCTTGTAAATCTGCAGGTCTGCAATCTACATGTTTTGTAAGCGAGCGGCACGCCTTACACGTCACGGCAGACAGTATCGTGGGAACTGGGAACTCATGCTCATCATACCTTCTGCCCTTCCTGTACTTTCTGTTCACCATAAGGCTTGACCGGCATCGCCATGGAGTCCGAAAAGCCGAACCTGCCAACCGCCATCGCTTTCAAAGGCAGCTGTGCATGCGGGCGTATAACCTACGACTGTACGCAGCTCCCACACAAGTCCACTGCGTGCCACTGTACAACATGCCGCAAACTCAGCGGCGGATCGTTTCAAGCGTTCGCACACGTATCATCCAAGAGCCTAACCTTTTACGACAACCAAGAGAATCTCCGGCATGAAGGCTTGCCACAAGATGACTTCGGCGGCATAACATTCCTTCGGCTGTCCAAGGTAGCTGAACGAGCATTCTGCGCGAGCTGTCACGCGCCGCTGGTGATGCACTACCTGCACATGGGCGACGGCATGGATTTGACGCTGGGCTCCGTTGATGAAGCGAGTCTGAAGGACGATGAGGCGAAGGAAGCCTTCAAATTGAAGCAGCACATCTTTGTGAGCCAGAAAGCTTGGTGGTATGATGTAGAGAAGGATGGCATTCCAGTGCACGATAGATTCACAGGTGCTTTCGACGTAACAGTGAAGGCGAGTGAAGGGAAGGAATGATGAGGGTGTGATAGCTGTACCTAATACTCCGGATCCTGCAATAATCATCTTCTCTTCTAGGAGTCCACTGCCGACCCACAGGATGTTATCGCTGCGTAGAGATATCGATAGGTACGAACATGTTGTTGTTGACGTTTTTCCATACAATTAGCTGAGCCATATGTAGGCCATGTAAAACTCATGAAGGCCTTTCACTTGTCGCAAGCGGAGTACTGTGCAATGGGTAAGGCAACCAAGGACCAGGGTTGTACAGTGAGCCTGACGTGAGGCACTGTCTATTTATTGCCAACCCTCTTGCCTGCTACGTTTCGACCAGCTCCTAAATACTCCCTGAGTGCGGCGGCGGACAATGTGCTACTTGTGTGAGCCAAGCGGGTCTGTGACCCGGCCTTCATACCAGCAGGTGTCGTAGATGGACAGCCTGAAGGCCGAAAGCTCTTGAGCCTGAAGTTTGAACTTTGGAGGGAAGAGCGACGGCGGGATATCGTGGGCGATTGACTTTTCGGCGCATATGCATGCTCTTCCGGAATTATGGGGCCGCCGAGTCCGTGCTTCTTCAATGCATCTCTCACGGTCTCACCACACCATCCTACGGTTCCTACCTCCTACTAGACGCCCAGTATCTGTACAGTCATCTTTCAATGTGGAGCTGACTTCATGACCACTCGATACAGATGGGTTCTGACGCGTATATACTCGCCCAGCGCAAGCTCCTCATACGAGCAGCATACGCAGACTCCAGAGGCGCAAATCGAAAGTGACAAGAGTCGCGAAAGGGTGGTCTGATCATGATGCACCACCACACTACACTTTCAACGAGGCTGAACAGACGTCGATCAACAATACGCCAATAGGCAGCTGCCGGTGCCACCCCTATCGTGCTCATGCAGCGAAACAGCCACCAGATGCGTTTCAGCCCATTACTGTACCGGCTCACCTCCCGTCGCTGGCCACATCACGGCAATTTACACAATGCATCATGTATCAGGAGATAGGACCTTACTCACCCCCAAGCGAACGTATCGGACAGTTCTCAACATCTCCGGCTTCCACTCTAAGCTCCAGATCCAGCAGCCGGTGCCGTCTTGGGATCCCCATAACCCGATCTGCACAGGATACAGATAACATGTGCGCCCAGAATGTGAATCCGGGACTAGGTACATGAGCCTATTGCAACCACTTGCTGTCGTCACACATGAGTTTTTGCGTGAGGAAATCTTTGTCAGATTCTATTTCTCGGTACTGCTCTCCGCGCTCGTCACACTCGAAGACCCTATTGTTAGAAGCCTCAGCCGCTTACTATAGGGCCCACAGATCCTTGCTGCTGCAAGCCATATAGAGACGCCGCCCAACTCGCTGCCGCACCATTCTCTTATCAGACCTTGTGCGCTCATCACAACAGGGAATACCAAGGCTGCCGCTTACACCTAACCATGGCATTCGATGGCGAGACCCTTGACCAAAAGGCCGCAGAGCAACTCAATGTCGAGATCATTCCGGGTACGGAGGTGATGAAAGATGTTGGCGATGTTCACTTCGCGCATGCGAACGGTGCAGACAGCGGCTCTGTGTAAGGACGATATTGCATATGTCGCAGCTGGTGCTAATGAAGCCAACAGTCTTGTACCGCATCCCACAAACAATCCAGCGGATCCCCTGAATTGGAGTAGACTGTGGAAGATTGCTACCGCTGTCTCCCAGCTCCTCTACGTCTGGGTACTGGTGTGCTCCGCCCTCTCTATCGCACCGATGTTCCCTTTGCTGGGGGCGGACTTCCATCTTGGTCAACAAGCTCTCTCCCTCCTCACTGGCGTGAACGTCCTCACTTTGGGATTCGCCAACATCTTGATCGTTCCGCTTAGCAACATCTTCGGTCGCCGGCCGATCAGCATTATCGCTGGCTTCTTTGTCATCCTCACCAACATTTGGCAGGCTTTGGCTACTAGCCACAAGAGCCTGCTTGCAGCCCGTGCCTGTAACGGCATCGTTGCAGCAACGAGCGAAACGATAATGGTGCAAGTGATCGCAGACATGTTCTTCCTGCATGAACGTGGTTTCTGGGTGAGTCGAAGCGATTTCACGAATCCGCGCAGCTACTGACATATACAGATGGGCACCTACTTCACATTCTACTTCTCCGGTGCGTTCCTTGGGCCGATTATGTCAGGTAACATCGCTGCGCGCCACGGATGGCGCAGCTTCTTCTGGCTCATGACCGGTCTTGCGGCTTTCGTCACTCTACTGCTTATCGTTGCCTTCCCGGAGACGAAGTGGCACCGCAACTCAACCAACCATGCAGGCAGTAAGAAAGATAGCAAGGAGCAGAGTCAAGTGCAGGAGAGAGCCGTTGTTTCGGAAACGAACAGTGAGACGGCCGCTGCTGGACAGCCTCTTGGCAGAGGCAAGCCCAGCAAGACACAATGGATGCCGGTGCAGAAGCCGGACCGCAGATGGCTCTCATTCGTCGTTCGCGACTTCACCTCACCCATCCTTGTGTTCTTCAACCCGATCGTCTTCTGGGCCGCCCTCATGCTCGCTGGTCCGGCTGATCTTCTGCTTATATTCAACCTTACCGAGTCTGGCCTGTTCACGTCCCCGGCTTACGGCTTCGGTCCAGGAGCCGTCGGCTACACCAACTTTGCTTTCTTTGTCGGCGGTATCATTGGCGTTTGTACTGCCGGTCCTCTGTCCGACTGGATCGCTCGCCGGGCTACAATCAAGAACAACGGCATCAGGGAGGCTGAAATGCGTCTCCCGGCGCTTATACCAGTAAGTAACGCGAACACGTGCCTTGGACACCAGATGGGTTCTAATCTTCTGTGATAGTACGTCTGCTTCTTCATCATCTCTCACGTAGCCGGTGCAGTCGGCTATCAGCGTCTCTGGCCGTGGCCAGCCATCATCGTCTGCGGCTTTGCCTTTTCCGGTCTTGCGGTGACCGCGATTCCGACGATCGCCATTGCGTATGCTGTCGACTGCTACAAGCCTATCTCTGGCGAGATCATGGTTGTTGCAACCGTCATGAAGAACGTTCTGGGCTTTTGTCTGAGCTATTGGGTGTTCAACGTCGATGCTACGAAAGGCTGGGTTGCTGTCTACATGACGCAGTTCGCTGTCTCCATGCTGCCAGTGGTGCTGACTATCCCGTTGTACTTCTTCGGCAAAAGCTTGCGGAGGTGGACCAAGAACTCCGACCTGCACCGCATGGAGGCGATGATCTGAGTTCACGCTGCGAAGCCTACTCACCAGGGAATGTTGGAGTTGCTTCGGGATCGTTATAGAAGAATGTTCCGATGCTCATGCAGTATATATAATATGTCTTGTCGTGTATTACTTCACGTCCACCTCTACATCCTCACCGAGACAAGTGTGCCGTCGTACCTCCTAGTACCTCTATGCAAATGCAATCCAGGAGTAGCTCGAGTAGTGAAACATGCTGGAGCAAAAGGGACCCATCACTCAACAGTGATGACCATCGAGGTCGAGAAAGGGGATTGGATGGACAAGACATATCGCAACTCCCATTACCAAAGGTAATAGCAAAAGGATAGATGCCGAAACCCAGAATTGAACTAGGGATCTTCGCATAATCTTGTAGTGATACAAGCTATTGCAAGGGTCAATGATTGACTCGAAGATGTAGTTCATGGACTTGACGTACTGCGACGCGTTACCACTGCGCCTAATTTCGGGTTAGTACCAGTTTCCACTGGTGGAGACTGACTAAGCTTACCATTCCGGCTGTGATGGTTGAAATATATTCGACCAGTGGCTCAAATGCACACATTGGCTGACTCAGCGCGCTTTTTTAAATATATTTCTCATCGCGTTCACGGCCCGAAAATGATCCGAAGAATCTGAAAGAAAAGAACCGGGTGTCGTTGAGTTCACGATGAAGGAGCAATGTCACTCTATCACGAAGCAGCCAGCGTGCTAGTCACCGCTCGAAGCAAGTCAATCTCGCTAAAGTCAATCATCTACAACAAGAAAGATTGGAAGAGTGACCCGAAAACTCTGTTTGCTTTGACCACAGAAGCAGCGAAATGGAGCGAGGTACTCTCGGAAGTGCTCGAGAAGAGCGGCGTGTTGAAGATTGAGAGACAGGTGGGTGGCCATATCTTATCGAACGCAGTGCAATACCAGTCTTTTTCGACGAAGCAGGCAAATGATCGATCTATGCTCTTGCAACTGACAATTTTCAGCTCACCCCAATATTAGCCTTGGTACTCACACACGACCTGTTCCTGTCCAAGAAAGGCATTGCACTACCGGCCAGCCATGGCCTCACTACCAGCATCTCGAAACACAAAGCTAGACTCTCGGCGGAACTGACGAAAGCACGGCTACGACGAGGTTTGGCCACGCTTGAACAGCTACGGGCGAGTATCAACGAGCAAGCCAGCAACGGGCTCGCTGCAGACGGCGAGAATGGGAGTGAATCGTCAAGGGTGAGATATCCAAGATGGATCCGCATCAACACGCTCAAGACTACGCTCGAGGAGCAGCTTGGGTCTACTTTTGCAGAGTACGAGCAGGTACCGACCTTGAGTAAAGTCACAAGCTCGTCTTCCAGCGGCAAGCGGCTGCACGTGGACGAGAATATACCGAATCTCATCGCCGTTCCAGCTTCCATCGATCTTACAACGAGCAAAGCGTACAAGCAAGGCCACCTCATTCTACAAGACAAAGCGTCCTGTTTCCCAGCCTATCTCTTGGACGCGCAGCAGGGCGGCGGTGATGTGTTCGACGCTTGCGCCGCTCCTGGGAACAAGACAACGCACCTCGCGGCTATACTACAAGCCGACTCAGCGAATACTGAAGCAATCAGTGAACATGGCAAGAGCAAAGTTCTTGCCTGCGAGAAGGATGCGACCCGCTCCTTGACTTTGCAGAAGATGATCAAGCTCGCAGGAGGCGAAAGCGTAATTCACGTCAAGGCCAAGCAGGATTTCATGAAGCTCGACCCCACGGCGAAGGAGTTCGCGGGAGTGACAGCGTTGCTGCTTGACCCTAGCTGTTCAGGAAGCGGCATTGTTGGCCGCGACGAGGGAGGTGTCATCGTCCACCTACCAAACGCTGCTGCCGCGCCCGATGCTGCGCAAGCGAAGGCTGGCAAGAAGCGCAAACGCGGTGGCAGTGCCGCCAAACCTCAATCCCCTCCTCAAGCTCTAGCTGTGGAAGAGATAGTCATCGAAGAAGAGGCACCGCCGACGACCACCGAAGATACGGAAGCCAAGCTACAAACCCGCCTAGCAAACCTCTCATCCTTCCAACTGCGTCTCCTGGAGCGTGCTATGGCTTTCCCGGCGGCGAAGAAGATTACTTATTCAACCTGCTCTGTTCATCCGGAAGAGAACGAGCACGTTGTGGTCAAAGCGTTGCAATCTCCTATCGCCACTGAGAGAGGGTGGCGGATTATGAGGCGGAGTGAGCAAGTTGCAGGGATGCGGGGGTGGCAGACGCGAGGGTGGGCGGACGCCACTAAATCAGCCGTTGATGGGAATGCTGCAGGGAGGGTGGGCGTGGAAGAGGTTGCGGAAGGGTGTATTCGGTGTGAGAAGGGGAGTGCGGATGGGACTATGGGGTTCTTCGTGGCTGGTCTCGTACGCGATGTTGGTGAAGTCAGGATGGACGGGCACGATGCGAACGGGGCTAGCAAAGCGATCCATGGTGCAGAAGAGGAAGAGTGGGGTGGGTTTGAGGATGAGACGTAGAAGAACAACCATGCAAGACGTATCTGCGAAAGCTCGGCCGAGATATGCCAGCACATGATGCCTGAAGAGGCTGAAATGCTTGGCGATCTGATCGAAGCTAGGGCCAGCCATTCGACGTAAGTGTGACGTCGACGCCGGAGGTGGGTCCGTCTGGTCTGGTGGGATGCAGATTCTATATGATGAGGCACAAGACTCGTATTCGAGCCATATAGACCATCTGTACAACACTGAATTGCGACACAGATACCTGTACTTTTAACAACCATCAGTTCAAATTTGATACCACCAACAACCGCACAACCCCCACACTCAATCACAATGGCCGACACAAGCACCTCCCGCAACACCGACGCCATCGTCAACCAGCAGCCAGGTGGTGGCAGCGGCGAGTTCCACGCCAAGGTTGGCCGTGATGAACCAATGCAGACTTCGGGCGTATGGTCCTCCTCGTCGTCAACGTAATGAAGTAGCACTGACGGCCCTCTCAGCACAAGCCAGGCGTCAACGTCGGCAACGACGCCGTCCCAGAGTTCTCGGCCAAGACCCTCCCACCAGGCTCCGCCCCAGCTGAGAGCACCTTCAAGCCGAACCCGACCGACACCGCACCGCCGACCCAGCAATCCCGCGACGACAACGAGAACGATGCCCCGCAAGCGTCCGCCCTGGACTTCCCAGGCTCGACGTCCGGCGATGTGAACACGGGAATGGGCAAGCCGATCCAGGGCCAGACCTCCTCCGAGCTCCGCCACGACGGGCAGTCCCACAACAAGAACCCGGGATCGGGGCTCGATGGACTGAAGTCGGGCGCTCAGGGCAAGACGGTGGACGAGCATCTGCCTGAGAACGCCCATTTGAGGGCGGCGGATAACGACGATGCGGTCATTGGGCGTGGGACCGTTGGTGGTGCGCCAGCGCAGGAGAGGGTCCCGGAAAGTGCCAACACGGTGGCGCGTGAGAACTGATTGGCGGGACCTAAGTTCTTCTACTGCCTGATGGCAAAGACGAAATGAGTACATGGGCCACCTCGGCCGACCACCACTTCGATGAACGTCCACTATCGCACGTCGATATCGAGCGGCATGTTGTACAGATACGCGGTCGGCATCGCGTTACGCGGCCGACCAGCTAGCCATAGCTTCGTAAAAGTCCAACGAATTGCTTTGATGTCATGATGACCTTGCTCGTTAGTCTTACCACTTCTCCTGACTATCACACCGCAAAGCCCTGTGGCCCTACTCTCTCTGCCGCAAGCTTCGCCTTTCGATGTTATCTGTGGATGAGGCGGCATGTACACAGCGGCACTCGGCCTCCGTACGACAAGACGAGGCGGAAAGGAATGGGACATTGGAGGATGCCGGGGTGGCGCTCACAGTGGTGACGCCGCAAACGAACGGGAAGGCGACAATGCTGCATCATCAGTCTCGTTACAAAATCATCGTGCCGCGTTACTAGTTGTGTTCAGTCCCCCGCATAGCCTCAGCAGCCTCCAACCCACCCTCGAGCCTTCTCCTCTTCGCCGCCCTCTCCGTGTCCGCAGCCCGGTTCTCATAGTTCACCGGTAGACGTCGGGGTTCAGCGCTAAGCACAAAGTTCTACTGCGACCGTCGCGGTAGCGGGGACCCACCACCACCCTATTGCTGTGGACCCCGCTGCTGCGGCGGCTGCGGCGGCTGATTAAGCGCATTGTGCATGTTGGCGAAATGCTGGTCGAGATTGTTGCCGCCTCCTTGCCCGTTGAAGTTGGGTTGCTGCCCGCCCATACCCATCCCAGCCATACCTCCTGCCATCCCTCCATTCTGCTGCTGACCCTGCATCTGCATCTGCATCGTGCGCAACTGCTGCATGTACCCCGGGTTAGGCTGCCCGGCCACCACCTGACCCTCAACACCGCCACCGCCGCCTGCACCACCACCCCCACCACCTTGTTGCTGCTGGGCCGCCATCTGCTGCGCCCTCATCTGCTGCTGGTTCCTCGCCAGCTTCTGCCTCAACTGCTGCTGCTGCTGCATCAGCATTTGCTGTACGTTCTGCGGCAGCGTCTGCGCGATGTGCGGCGGGATGTTTTGCCACCCGCCATACTGATGTCCATACTGCACCAGCTGCAGCTGCGTCTGCTGTTGCCGTTGGATAGCCATCTGCTGCCCCTTGGCCTGCGCCATGGCAAGTTGCTCCGGCGTGGCTTGCTGCCCGCCGTTCTGCTGGATCTGCTGAATAGCGGCCGCCTGCATCTGCGGCGTCTGTTGATGCTGCGGTTGCGGAGTTTGCGAGGGATGCGCATGGCCCATCGACGGCGTACCCTGCTGCAACCCTGCCATTCCTTGCCCGGCGGGACTCCCCATCTGCTGGGCCTGGGCCTGGGCCTGCGCTTGAGCTTGTATCCTCATCTGCTGGAGCTGCCGCGCCCTTGCCATTTGCTGCGCATAGACCTGCGCCGCCTGCGGATTGCCTGACGCTATTTGCGCGGCCAACATAGCTTGCTGCTGCTGCCGCGCCTGCTGCTGTTGCTGCTGAGCGCGGATATGTTGAATCTGCTCGGGTGTCATGTTCTGCATACCGCCACTGCCAACATTTGCTGGCGAGCCGGCGTGGTTGGCGGCGCTTATCTGGATGTTCGCGGCCTGCGCGCGTAGCATCTGCATTTGTTCGGGAGTGAATTGGCTCGGTTGGCCCATGTGCGGTGTTGGCTGCGTTTGCGACAGTTTGGCGGAAGTGGGCGTGCCTTGCAGTCCGGGTGCTGGGCTACCCGGAGGCATGCGCGGAGTCATCTGCCTGTTAGGCGCGACTTGCGCCATGCTCGGCGTACCCTGCGGTAGCTGCGGCGTGTTGTTCTGGCTGCCGTGGCCTTGCTGGCTAGCGTGGCGTACCATGTTTGCATTGCGGTGCTGCAAGGCTGCGGACGTTGGGCGTGGCGGGCTGCCAGCGCCTTGGCTGGACGTTGGCGCCATCGGGAAGCCGTTGTTCGGCATCATCGGCGACGAG